GCAGGACGTTTGTGTAAAACGAGTGATTTGGAGGAATTTATTATTTTAGACTATATTTAGGGAACTCTTTATACAATTATCTGTCTGTACAGAGAAATAACAAGGGGGCATACACAATGTAGCATCTGTAGGCTAATAAGTGTTTAATAAATAAACCAGGCCATGCATACATCGGAGGTTATGTCATACTTTCAAAGGCATAAATCCCTGATCATTTGGGAAAGTGAACCTACCTGCCTAGCAACATCTGGTTCCTAAACGTTCTGGGAAAATGTGTTTCTGGTTCTAGGAAAATAGGAATATTCCAGTATAACGTTCCCTACATGTTAAAATGTTTCAGTTTTGGGTTGGTTTTGAAAACTTTTTATACAATTCTCTGACTGTATTATGTTTTGTTTTTCTTTTTTTTTCTTTTCCCTGATGCTTGACCATTGTTCTATTAGACAATTCACATTTACTTTTTGTCACAGAAGTGAACCAAAAGCTGAGATACAGGCCTTCAGTGTATATTTTCATTTAGTTATCTTACACCACTTAAAATCAAGAAGGCCTAACGACCCCCCATCAAGCTTAAGCGACCCCCTATTGGGGGCTGGGAAGCACTGATATTAAACCACTGATATAGGCTATAAATGCTCGGTAGACTCGTGTCTGTAAATAAACAGGTGGAGCAAACTGAATACAGGTGGGCTTACCCTCCACGAGCCTCCATGGCAATTACTTTTAATAAAGCCAGCCCCCTGCCCAAACAAACAACCCCCCTTCCTCACAACCACCTCCCCCCTGGTCGCTGCTATCAGATCATTTGTTTGTAATTAGGGATGCGGTTGTTTAAATTCAGTGGTAATCCGAGCTTCTGTTTGTGTGTGTGGTGTATGTGTGTGTTTACTATTGGGTAAACTTTTCTTGGTGTCCACTAGAAATAGATTTTAAAACCTGTGGGGTCCAGAATTTTGGTGCCCACAAAGCTGAGGGTTAAGACTTGGTTTTAGGGTTAGGACTGGGTTATGTCAGGGGTGCCCAAATGTACTCCCTTGGAGGGCCATCGACCCCAAAAAACCCCTATTGTGTTGTTTTATTAAGATACAAAATGCACTAAGATCTCAAGTTCCCTTTATTGACTGACTTCCTGTGCAAAGTGTCACTGCCCACCATGCTAAGATTATGCTATGCTATTATTATTATTATTAGGAACTTAGAGCGTTTTACCTCATAAAAAAAGCATAAACAGCGACATATATTGTAATTTGTTTAAATTATTAAAATTTTTTTCTCTACAAACATCTGGCAGACAAATCAACCGTCTCTGGTTGCAAATAACTTGGGCCAACTTTTTGGGTAAGCCTGGGTTAGTTTAAGGTTAAAGGGCACGGGGCCCTCGAACGCGTTATGATCAATTCCAAAAAATAATAGTAAAACAGGATGTTTTTGAAATAAGGCCTAAGATACACATTTTTTAACTAATCAACATTTTACCATGGTCCTTTACTGAATGCTGTTGGATTAAGTTTTGAAGGAGATGGCACTGTTTCTGCCTTGTGTTGGAAAATATTTGTAATGAGAAGGTAGGGCCCATTCATAAAAACTTTTTGGGAATATTCATTCATGCCTAGGTAAAAACCAGGAACATTTAAAAAGGCCTGGAAGTTCCTGTTTTTTGGGAATCAAGTGTTTGCCTTTTCCCTGGCTGCATGTCTTCAGAGGCCTGATGGTGAAATGGTTTTTTTTTCTTTGAAACAAGGCCATGGGCTTTGGAAAATGTTTCAAACACTTACTAAACCTTATCACCGACTCATGTGGCATCACTGACACTGTCTTTGTGTCACTTAACAGGATATAATCAAGAATTTTTTTCCCCCAGCTCTTATCTTTGACTTGTGGTCCTGTGTCAATGGCCATTCTTTCGCTGTTCACAGAGGCTGCATCTTCGTCCAGAGTCGGCTGGGGGCCGCGGCAGGGCTGTCTCCACTGGTGGCTGAGTGGTGGTTGTGTGTGTTGTGTGTGTTGTGTTTTAAGTGGGGGGGGGGTCATTGGTGGTTGACACTCATAACAGCCAGGGGCACCATCTCCATCTCTTGATGCTATCTGTTCTGTATCTGGATCAGTGGCTCCACTGGGGAGAGAAGTTTTTTTCTTCTCTTCACATTACGTTCATGATGGAATCCATATTTATCCTCCACATAATGACAGATAGTAGGAGCACAGTAGATAGCAGAAGTCAGTTTCCAGCTTGATCTGTAGCATTCCTCACATCAAAGGGGGAATTCTTTCAAAGGGACTTTCAGACTTAGAAGTCTGAAGCCATGGGAGGCTTTTCAGGGTGACTTTAGAGTGGTAAGCTGCCAGTGCAGATGTGAGGGGATACAGCAAAGTGTGGGCTGTTAATAAAAGAAAAGTATAGGTTAACACTGTCTAGAAAAGTCATCATTAGTGGCAGAGAATGGCTTGTTATGAGAAGGTGTGTAATGTGGGTGAATAAAGAGCACTATCACATAATTCCCTGTTATGTTAACAAGCATTTTAGCTTTGCAGTAGTTCACTTTAAAAAATGCTTTGTGGATATACAATGTTCCGTATACATAAGTTCCACGGTTTGCCATAAAATAGCGTAGCATTGGCCATGGGGCTGTTAACAATGTAAAAGGTGGTCACACACACATTGACATGCTCATATAGTTATGACCATTATGATGGGAAGGAGGCTGTAACATTAAGATGTATTATTGATTCATTAGCACTCTGTGAAAAACACCCTCATTCATTTAGGGTTTACTACAGTAGAGCTGTCTTACTAACAAAAACATGGGCATATTTCTGCTTTTCGGATCATTGACATAAATAGAACAAGCACAGGGGGAAGTGAATGCTAGTGAACAGAAACTAACCCAGTGACGCAGAACCTTTATTCTAGTACATTATTATATAATACTAGCTATAGCTCTACGATCTGAATCTATAGACGCACCCTGTATACTCAAAAAATGCAAATATTACTATACCAAACCAGATATAAATACTACACTCAACTATCTTAAAAATATGGATAGTGTATGCCGAAGATAACAAATTCAAATACTACATCGCGATGAGTGTCTTCATATCGCTATTCAATAGATATACTAAATAAAATTATTTACAATTTCCATTTGAGTTAAAGTACCATTCACAGAGGACTCAACCCCCATTATTAGTATTATTATATAATAGTATCTGGTCCTTTGGTATCGATCTTTGATCCTTTCTGAGCACAGGTTCCAGCCAGGCTGTAATTATATTCCACACATACTCTGCAATGGACCTTAGTACCAAATGCTTAGTAAACCAAACCTCCTCTTTTTTGAAAGAAAACACAAAGAGCGGGTTAATAGTGCTCATAATCGTGGTAATGGGTGTGGTATGCAGTTGCATTTTATATTGCTTTAGCTTGGGGGACGGGACGGTTAGAAATGCTATCCCTATCTGCCCTGACATGTTAAATGTCTCGTCTTTTTCTGGAGGGAAAATACCTTGGTGGGGGTCTGTGGTGGTTAGGGAGGGGAGGGGTGGGAGGTGAATATGTGAAGACAAGAAGGCGGTGGGGTGGGGGCAGCTACCTACAACTGCCTTCATCCAACATCCCCAGTAGCTGATTTCTGAAAGGTCACAGTCTGTTTGAAGCCCCACCTAAATCGGTGGCTTCAGTTTGATCTGTTATTCAGAAAGCTCCCTCCTGACCCCTGCTGCTGCTCAGACACTTCACATAAATGTCCCATAACTTGCTATTGTCATGTGAAAGGGGGTTATGGTCTACAAGAAAAATTCCCCCTCCCATGAGCTGCTGATGAAATCCTTTCCAGACTATGAGTGACATAGTGGGCTAGCTAAATGCATTGGTGTTTTATTTAAATGCTGAAAGGCTGACATTTAGGAACAACATGGCTTTCACCTCCAGCGGCAATGACATCATGAACAGCCTGGGATGTCATGATGATAATATCACCAATCATTTAAATGTGGAAATAAATGTTGATGGTAAAATGTGGTTCTGGCGTTAAGTCTACAATAGGGGTAATGCATCGGTTTCCTTCCCAGAGGGCCTGATTTCCTCACTTGAGATGGATTAACGCTTCAGTCAGCAGCCTTGACAGGCAAAATATGGCTCCATTTAATTCATTCACTTGTTTTCCCCTCATTCACATGTAAATTTGCAAACATACTGTCATAAATAAACATAATAAAGATCCGCAAGACACACATGGTGGCTGAAATGCCAATGTCTTTAATAATTCGTCCTCTCACTACTGCAGAATACATCA